ATAACGACAATTTGATCTGCACCATTGTTACATCACTGAGGATGGCCAGATGGATGGCCGAAACGTTTGACAATAAATCTATATACGCGGAATAAACGTGTGTTATTTACTGAATTTATCATTGCGCAACAATTACCGCGCCAATTCCCATTAGCCTATTCTTTTAAATTGGTAAATTACTTTAATTTAATAAATTTTCGCGGTGGTGTTGCATCGTACGATAGGACAAATTCAAACTGGCAAAATGGGAGAAACGCATGTGTTTCGTTTCATGCATGATATGTAAGAAGACAAGGTGAACCAATATAGTAGCCAATATTTGATTAACCAATCAGAATCCTGTCCAAAATGCAAAAAGCACTTATACACTTATACTTTTATTATATAAGTGCATTTTGGACAGGATTTTGATTGACTAGCTTTTGCCAGTCTTTTGTCAGTATGCGCGTTGGTTCACCTTGCCTTCCTCTTACATCATGCAATCATGTTCAGTCCAGTTCAGTCGTTTGCAGTCGTTTGGTACCTAAGCAGCTATTTGGCCAGCTTTAACGTGCTTATAGTGTGATATTTAACAAGTTTCTAGTTCAAACTGGTTCAAACCGAAAGAGATTGATGGAGGACCCAATGCAAAAGAAAATTCACGCAAAGGAAAAACCTTGCATGTCCAAAAACGATGATGTTACAACGCAAAATAATGAAAATACATTGGATTTGAGTACCGTTTTAACCTACGATATTTTGAGAATTATCTTTCAATATTTAGATGCAAGGGATCTGGCGAACGCTGCGATGGTTTGCAGGTATGTAGATATCGATGATCCATTAATGATCCATACTCGATTTAGTTCTGAATACTTATTTAATTCAAGCAGAATGCTATGGTTATGGATTTCTGTCATCATATATTTGAATAAATACGAATAAGATTTGATTTATAAATAATCTCTTGAGGCATTTTTTAAAAGTTTATTTATGATAAAACTATTAGTGATAATATTTAACATCGTTATATTACAAATGAAAAGTGCGTGGACATTGTAAGCTAAACGCAGCATAAAGAGTATGAAATTATTCTTTTCAGATTCTGGTTAGAAGCTGCGAATAATGAGAAATTGACAAGAGGTCATCCATGTTACTTCACACAATTTTACGATGATTACGACAGAAACGGACGACACGAATTATTATGTTATATCAATAGAATAAGAATTAAACCATCAATAGGTTTCTTTTTTATGCGTTCAGACACACCACGTAATATATATATAGAAGGTATATATTTTATATTTTTTCATATTTTCTCTGGTGTGAAATAAGAATCAGATGAATAAAAAGCTCCTGTTAACAGTAGCAAGTATGTAAATATTTTATTCTGATTTATGACAAACTATTTTTTTGATATTTTAATACTATAATACTAGGCTTTTTATTCATTTTTCCATCTAATTAAAAGTCATTAGAATAATGTAAGATTATTAAAATCTTCTTTTTTCTTTTTAAGAATGTACAGAGGCTTTGCTACCTAAAGATTGTGAAGCTATAATGTTGTATAGTGAAGGTATTATTGTACAAAATTGTCAATTTCCAAATATAACATGTGTGTTTTTGCCACAAATCCCGAACGTTAAAATAAAATCGTTCATACTGTCAGAAAATTATATCATACAAGAAACAGCTGAATATCGGGAGATAATTAGCACAATTGTTAATAATGAAACATCTACCTTGAGTGATAAGACATCTACATGTTTTATGTTATTTTGCAATGGAAAGGACCGTACCACAGCACAACGTTGGGCCTCAGCCATACAAGAAATTAGGTATATGTTTATGATATATATGTTTATCTATATAAATATACGTATATTTAATTCAAGCAATAATATCCGAGTTTGTTATTTAGATATGTTCAACTATTGTACTACAATTGCTAACGCTCGATATTTATTTCTTTTTTATACTCAGCAAAGAATGTGAAGCAGTTTCTGTATGGGGCGGGGTGATGATAGACATTCATGCACAACGCGCACATACTGACTTGCGCAAAAGACAAATGAGAACCAGATCGCTTGAGAAAATGAATACATTTGAATATTGTGTCGCCGTTCTAATTACTGGCCCTATATGGACGTGGTCCGTGATTTTGGAATGGACATGCAATACAAATGAGCTAATCGAAGCGAGATTAAAATTATTTAAGAACAAAGTGAAGTTAAAAAAACATTCCATAGGATTTATGATCATGTCCGAACCTCGTGAATCTTCATATTTAGAACCAGTAATATTCACAAGATTATTCCCCGAAGTACGCTTAGTAGGTTGCATTAGTTATGGCGAGTTCGGCAAAAATACTGCCGTCAATGAGATGAACGAAGAAAGTGAGTAATCCTTTTTTCTCTTTTTCTTTTCAAGTGAAAATATAAAATATAATGATAAAATGGTTTTCTTTTTGTTTTAGGGAATAGTAAATTTTGGTATAATGATCTCTGTACTGTATTTTTGATACTTACGTATGGTTAACGTTTTTTAAGAAGAGACATATGACTGCTACATGCTGTGAACATATTTTATTTATCACTTTGTATTACTAGATTTAGGTTTTGTATTTACCAATCTTTTCTGTTATTAATGGAACATGAAAGCAATGATCGTTCGATATTCACAGAACAAAAATGTACAGTATAACGAATGTTGTAGCAATAAACCTGATTACAGAGATTTGTATCTTATTCTAGATGTAATATCTACGAATGCGTGTTTTGTATATGTTCTAAAATGATGTAGCCGAATAAGGAAACAGATCGGAAGAGCACACGT